AACAAACACATAAAAAATCAATAACATCGGGAAATTAAGATTAAAAAACATGAGTATATATATACAAGAGAATTAAGCGAAAAATGAAAGAGATGCTTGTGAAACAACCCAAGAGGCACATGGAGAGCAATTGTCAAAAGAGAGCCTTAGCAATGCTCTAAAAGATGAGGAGAAAGGAGAAATCCCATCTTGCATTACGAGGTTGTGTAGAAGATCTTGATCAATTGTNGTTTGCGGATCATCTTTCACCTTCAGTTATGTTTGTGAAGAAGTTTATTTACTCATCAAGTGAAATATTAATCAACCGTTTATCTAACTTACAAGAGGACTAAACTTCTACTCGCAAAACAACTATTATGTATCATAGTCAAAGGTTTTATGCTAGACAAATTCGATCCCGTATGAAGGATGTGAACCCAATCCAAACAATTAGCGCTAAACAGAGTAAAGACCAGGTGCTCCACCGAAGGAGAAGACAATGCATATTATTTTTGCAAAAAATATTATTTAAATTTGAACATGAAACTAGAGACAAAACAAAATAAATTCAAGTGTAAGCTCATCGATCAAGTTGTTATACGAAAATATCAAATTTATGTTTTTGTATCTAAATTTACACTTTAATGCTAGAGTTTAGGGTTTATGTATTGGTTTTAATAGTTACATGCATTTATGAGGGTTTAAACTCTCCTGTTAGGGTTTAACACCCTTTAAATTTTTAAAAACAATGATGGTGTAATATTAATAAATAACTTTAAACGTTTGGTTCAAAAAAAGAAAAAATTATAAAAATTATAAATAAATATTGATTTCTAAAATTAGATTTAAAAATTGATTAGTAAATTAAAATTTATTAATATGATATAAGTAGTATCATGTTCCTAATTTACAATATAGTTTAGATGTTGTAACAACCTAAAGCGTTCACATTAACAAGATTAGTTATATCCGTACGAAAGATACGTTAGACATCTGTCTACTTTAGTTGTATGATTTTAGTTTCAATTTAGAATTAAAAATTTTCTATATAAAAACGTAAGTCATATTTTAAAGGTTAACAGCGTTGGAACAATAAATTATTAACAAAAATTTATCCCTGCGCAGGGCGCGGGTACTACGCTAGTTTTCAATTGATTTTTGAGTTGGAAATTTATGAATTGTATTGGTTTTGTTAACGAGTCATTTGGACATTTTCTCAATCTTTTGTAAATGATGTGAAATGAAATTTTCGTGCTTAACGATTTTGTAGAAATGACAAAGCCACTTGTTCCAACAGATCTGAATGTAGAATCTAAATATCTATCTAATAGTGACGTCGACTTATGTATAGATTAAGTATATTTTGTATATATATGTGAGAGTGTCTCTCTCCTGTGGTCTCCCATATAGTGAACAAAAGTTGTCTCTTACCGTTCACAAAATATGAGAAAGTGTTTGTCTTGTGTTGATTTATGCATCAAACAACATTATTATAAAGTAACAAAAACAGTGGCTCGACGTACAAGGTCCGATCTTGGATTTTCACTTGTTCTTGTGTGATATTTTAAGAATAAATTATAGTAATGAAAAGAAAGAAAGAAGGTTCGGTGAACTTCGTGCTGC